TCATCTCCTACTATACGAAGGTACTCGCGGGTCCTCATCTCCTACTATATGAAGGTACCCTTAGGCCCTCATCTCCTACTATATGGAAGTACCCTTAGGTCCTCATCTCCTATTATATGTGGGTGCTCTTTGGTCCTCATCTCCTACTATACGAAGGTACCCGCGGGTCCTCATCTCCTATTATATGGTGGTACCTTTAGATCGTCATATCCTATTATAGACAATTACCACTGGTCCCCCAGAGCCAGGACTGTCGCGAGGGGGGGAGCGGGGGGATACCTCCCCCTGCCCAATCTTGAGAAATTTTCGTTTTTTCCCAGCAAAGTTGCAGAATTTTATTCGTTTTTTTGCTCACCGATTCTCAAAAAGCCGCTCGTCCCCCCCAATCCAGTGAGTTTTAGCAAAAATTTTTCGGTCGACCTACCGAGTCATCGACCCCTCACCCCAATCTTGGGAACCTCGCGACACCCCTGTCCAGAGCTATTACATGGAGAGCCTCTGAGGCTCTCAAGTACTATGGTATAAGGCTACCAATAGGTCAGCACATGGGTGCAACAATGCTAATACTTGCAATGGTATGGGTGGCATTGGTAGTGTGCAATGAAAAGACACACTTGAATACTTTGAAAAACTCATCATAGATTCGAATTCTGCAACGCCGTCAAACTTTGATCTAACTTTATGAAAAAAAACCTTTCACTGACGAAAAATCAAAAACATAAAATTAATCTTTCCATATTTTATTTTTTTGAGTTTTTTCGTCAAGGAAGGGCTTTTCTACCCAAAAATAGTGGTGTTATATAAATTTTGAACAACGGCTGTCGGGATCGAGAAATTCGAATCTACCATTATTTTTTCGAAATTTTCAACTTTGATATTCCTTTGCACACTATCAATACCACTAATGCCAAATGGTATTGGTATTGGAAGTATTAGGATTGTTACATCCCTCTACTGACCTAAGTGTACCTTCATATAATAGGAGATGAGAACCCAAGGGTACCTTCATATAGTAGGATTTGAGAACCTAAGGATACGCGTATATAATAGAACTTGAGGACCTAAGGATACCTTCACGTAATAGGAGATGAGGATCCAAAGATACCCTGAGATAATAGGACATGAGCGCCTAAGGGTACTTGCATATAATAGGATATGGGGATCCAAGGGTGCCTTCAGATAGTAGGACCCAAGAATACCTTCAGGTAGTAGGCATGAGGACCTGAGGGTACCTCCATATAATAGGAGATGAGCACCTAAGGGTACCTTCATACATTAGGATTTGTTATTGATCTGTTATTAATAACAACCAATAACAATAACTTCTCACCCCTAACTGGAGTAGTGTCACATATCCAAGATTTTGGAGATGCCACCACATCTCCCGTGGGAGATGCCGCGTCTCCAGCGGGATACGCGACACCCACACTCGAGAGATGTGGTCATTCACCACTGGAGATGTAAGATCTCCTTTAGAGATGCGCATCCCCCACACCCACACCCGCATCTCTCGCGCGAGATGCGGCATCTCCCGCGAGAGACGTGGTGGCATCTCCAAAATCTTGGATATGTGACACTGCTGCCTAACTGAGACTATTTCGAATCGACTTTTTCGGTCAAAACAAGGGTTGTTCGAGAAAATAACGATTTTTTATAAAAAGCTTGACTAAAGGTTTTCGGGATCGAGGAATCCGAATCTATAGTTGGTTTCTCAAAATTCTCGAGTTCGATTTTTTTTTCGATGAGAGAACGCCTGTCTTGAAATAGAACTCTACTGATTGAAAAAAAATGAACTCGAGAATTTCGAGAAACCAACTATAGATTCGGGTTCCTTGACTCCGAAAGCCTTTAGTGAAGTTTTATCAAAAATCGTTATTTTCTCGAAAAACTCATGTTTTGATCGAAAAAGTCGATTCGGAATAGTCTGAGTCTTCTTCATAGCTATTACCTTGATTTCCAGTCTAATGCCAAATATGTATGAGCACCTCAGCAGCTGTCCAGCACCTTCTCGGCACCTCAGTACCTTATCAGCACCTCAGCACCTGCTCAGTATTCCAGAGCAAATTTGGTGCCAGGGACCTGCACGTTCCCCTTTGGGAAAAATGAAACTCTCAGAAACGATATGAAACATATGTAGGACAATGCAGTTTTGTGTGCTAATTCCGAATGTGATATTTGTTTGAAGTCAAATCAACATTATCCTTGACGAACACTGGGAAATACTGGGCAAAAATAGGAAAAAAAGGGTCTCGAGATAGGTGTTAGATAGAAAATGGTCCACTAGACATCGAATTTCAAGTTGAAAATAGTTTCATTTGGAAGAGCATATAAAATTACATATTCCATAAAAAAAATCTCGCTGGTACACTCTTATAAACGATAACTTGTCAGGAGCGAGAAAAGTCATTCTTGATAGCAATAGAGTCCAATCGGGGGCGGTGTTCCCCAGTGTTCGATAGAAAAAGTTTTCAATACCTAAACGGTTCTTATAGATTCTGGTAGAGAAAAACATTCTGCGTCGAATGAGCCTATTTTCAATGAGTTTAAATGAGATTTCTATGGACCTTTAGGTCAAAAACAGGTTTTTAGACCTCTCATTAAGTTCTTCAGATCTTTCTTATTTCCCTATTAATCTTTAAAATAAATATCATATTTGGAATTAGCACACTTAGTTCTATAAAACTGTAAGGACTTCTAAAGGATTCTTGATAAAAAAATTTTTTCGATCCCTGGGGGATTCCATGGGTCGAAAAATCGAATCATGAGAAAGTGTAAAATAAACTCGTGAAAAAGAATCAGGGTTTAATGCTGATTCTAGCGCTGATAAAATTAGGGTCAAATTTTTTGGTATGCCGAGATAGGAATTTCACACACCTCCTTTCTCATTGGACACAGAGAACATTCAATAGGATTATGATATCGAAATAAATTTAATAGAGAACGCTATTAGGTTATGTCAATAACAGCCGTTAAAACATATAATATCTTCTAAACTCTATAAGCACCTCAGCACCTTCTCAGCACCTCAGCACCTTTTCAGCACCTCAGCACCATCAAGTACAATTTGGCACTTGGTACCTGCACTTTCCCCCTTGTCATGTCCTGTATTATGTGGGTATTCTTAGGTCCTTAAGGCCTATATTACGGAGGTACTTTTGGGTTCTCATCTTCTATATTATAGGGATACCCTCGGGTCCTCATATCCTATTATATGAGGGTGTCCTATTCGGCAGGCCGTGAAGACTTATGGATACCAGTATAGAATAGGTACCCCCATAATATAGTCCTTGACGAGCTAAAGGTACCCCCATAATATAGGACTTGAGGACCTAAGGGTACCCCTATAATATAGGACTTGAGGACCTAAGGGTACCCCATAATATAGGACTTGAGGACCCAGGAGTACCCCCGTAATATAGGACTTGACGACCTAAGGGTACCCCCATAATATATGACTTGAGGACCTAAAGGTACCCCTATAATATAGGACTTGAGGACCTAAGGGTACTCCCATAATATAGGACTTGAGAACCTAAAGGTACCTCCATAATATAGGACTTGAGAACCTAAAGGTACCCCTATAATATAGGACTTGAGGACCTAAAGGTACCCCCATAATATAGGACTTGAGGACCTAAAGGTACCCCTATAATATAGGACTTGAGGACCTAAGGGTACCCCTATAGTATAGGACTTAAGGGCCCAAGGGTACCCCCATAATATAGGACTTGTGGACCTAAGGGTACCCCTATAATATAGGACTTGAGGACCCAGGAGTACCCCCGTAA